CCTACATTCATGGTTCTCACATTCCATGTTCCAATTACTACTGTCTGCTTACAGCTGTTCCTCTTCCTTTGCATTTCCATGCTTGACAGTTCTACCTAGGTTGCCGTTTCTGTTTGTCTTCGTGTGTTGTGTTGTACATAGGGTTTTCAGAGACCTGCCATTTCAGAAGTGGATAGCCAATCCTTCTTCCTAGTCTATCTTAATCTGAATGTTTAGACTTAGAGGAGTATCTGACAGACAACAATTTGTGGAATAGTGAAAAATAAAGCCCTCATTTTGGAGCTGACCATTAGTTACAGTGTAGTCCCTGCCCCTAGCCCAGGTTACTCCTTGGAGGCAAGGATTCTGGGGCTTCGTCTGACATACTTTGGACATGTTGCAAGGAGAGACAGGTCCTTGGAGAAGGACATCATGCTTGGTAGGGTAAAGGGACAGCACAGGAGGGGAAGACCCTCTATGAGGTGGATTTATTTAGTGACTGGGGTAAATGGGATGAGTGTGTCAGAGGCAATGCGATTGGCACAGGATAGCGCAGGGTTTAAGGCTGTTGTACATAGGGTCGCTATGAGTCGCAAACGACTCGACAGCACATAACAACAACAACAACAATTCCAGAATTGAAGTGCTACCCACATGAACTAGAGATATTCAGACCTGAAACGTAGCAATGACAACAGCAAGGTGAAATAAAATGTGTATGGGACAATCTCTTTCTACATAATGTAAACCAAAATCCCAAAACCTAAATGAATACTAAGAATGACTGACTTCTAAATGAAATTCTGATAAAAGAAAATTCAGCAATAACAAATTGTCTAGAAATATAGGCTAAGGGAGGGGGAGGGTAGGATCTCCTCTCTTTGGTGATCCTGGGGCCACCAGCAGACCAGCCCCTTACTGCCTGGAGGTTAATGCAGGCTCCCTCACTGACTTCCTCTCACTGTGTCTTTTGCACAGAAATACATAGACGTGTCCTCGCTGGTGACAGATCTCAGTTGCAGGAAGAACTTATTTGAGGATGTGTCTCTGGTGGTGGTAAGTCGACTCTTCAGGGAGGGATCATAATATGTGTTTCCACCAGAGCATATCGTTGACAACCACTGGAGGGAGTCTTTTTCCTGGGAGCTGGCGGATCCAGTGCCAGCAGTAACCACTTGCGATGGAATATCCAGAGACAGTGCATGTGAGGGACAATGTCTCTGAAGGCCTCACCAGCCCTGGACCTGATTCCTGCAGGGTCAGATCAGACAGGACACCTGGAGGAAAAAAGAGTCTAGGTGAGTCTTTTCCACCCCTCAGTCAATCCAGTAAATCCTGGAGTCCCTGAGACACTCATCCAGGGGAGCCACCAGCAGGCAGAGGAAGAACCAGAGGCTCTGCATGGTTGTCTGGATGATGAAGACCACTACAGAGAGCAACGTCGGTGCGGAGATTTCTCTGTGAGCACCCAGGAAGATTTGCATGTGAACGTCAAGTAAGGGGATATAAGTGGCTGAGCCAGAAGACAGTCACCACCCTGTCCTTCTTGGGGCTTGGTATGTTGGTTTGTGCAACTTCCAAGCATGGCCTTAGTGATTCTCTCTCCACATGGCTGATCAATCCTCTAACTTGTGACTGGGATGAGACTTCCTGATAACTGTGCAACCCCTGCCCACAATGCCAGCTGTGGGGTCCTCAGAGCAAAGTCTAGAGAGTGTACTATTTTAGAGATTATTTGGAAAGACCATGAATGTTGAGGGATATAAAAAGAGAGGACGAGGCTCAACCAGGTGGATTGGCACAGTGACTTCCAGAGTGGGCTTGACTGTGTCACAGGACAGGGTTCATGTCTGTTGTTCATAGGGTCACTGGAGTCATACCCCACTCGATGACACTAAACAATAATAATGCATGTAGCAGCATAATGTCCTTATATTCCCTTAGGAGACATGCTACGGCCTCTTCCTGTACTCTAGGATTATCTTCCTGTACTCTAGCATTATCTATGGCTCAAAATTGTTGAATTGTTGATGTTTAGGCTTAAGGATATGAATTTTTGCTAAATTAAGGTAAAAAAAAACGACTGTATTGAATGATCCCTTAGAAGTCCCCGGGCTGTTAATGAAACTCCCAAGCTAATTCCCTGCAAGTGAGGTCAGAAAGACCAAAGTCAGGCTAGCAGCTCCCAACAGCAAGGAATGAGTGTATTATTCATCTCATAATATCAGATGCACACACACACACAAACACACACATGCACTCACACAAACACACAAGTGCTGGTGACATAAAACTTGTAAAAACAATGCATTCTCGCCTGATATAGATGGATTTACAGCTTCAGGAAACTGATGGAGAGGCACCAAGTTTATACCCACCTGACTGCAGTAAGTTAAACTTCACTTTTTCCAGTTATAAATATTGCTGTTGTTGTTAATTGACTTTGAGTCAGGCATGACTCACTGCGACCCTATGAATAAAAGGCTGAAGCCCCTCTACAGCTATAGACATTCATCAAAGTTC